GTGAGGGAATGATTTTTGTAATTTTTTTAGTCGTTGAAGTTGAAAGTTGAGTCGGCGAAAATTAGTACCTTCGACAGCTGCCTCTATTTACGTCTATTCGAAGTGCTAAAATCGCTTAAGCTGCTCCATACATTTGCAATAGGTTGAGCTAGAAGTCCCAGCGAGGGAATCCTCATAGGACGCTTCGGAACTAATTTCAAGAATTTCGAAGTTGGCAACCTTCACCTCGCAGATAATGGGCAGGATCACAAGTCATCGCGTCTGTTCCACTTGAAATTTTATGCTAATAGTTGAATGTTTCGCTATGTGTTTTGTATGCTCTGATAGCAAATTTCGTGCTCTATAACACTGCAATGGAAATCTGTTTTCCATAGCTGTTTGCTTTCTGTTAATTTCAGGTTATTGATACGGAATGTCAGGTCGATGAAAATCAGGATTCTCGACTTCTCCTTGAAAACGTTTCACTTTTCGAAGAAAATTTCCAACTGAGAAAAATTTCATTACTCATGGGCCAACCCAATATGTCTGTATTGAACTGCTAAGTGCTTCAAAACAGTTGCTCAAACTGGAGATGTCCCACTCCGTTGAGCATATTGTTCAGGGACCGCGTTCACACTCCGCGACACTGAAGAAAAGAATAGGCGAAGAATCAAAGGAAAATAAGGTTATCGATATGAAGACCCGGAAGAGTATGAGAAGACGCAAACTGGCAGAGTGGCGCCAAAAAAGTCAGGAGAATTGGAGTCAATTACTCGACTCCGGTTCGACCAGTTCGTCAGCTCGATACGTACTTTCCTCTGACGTAATCTCTTATTCTCCAGTGTGGTGAAGTACGAACACGGCTTGAAATGAACAACTGAGGGCTGGAATCAGGAGTCCAGTATACGTGTGAAGAATCAGTTTGGGAACCAACTGATGAACCTGGTTTGAAGGGTCGAAAACCTCCCTACTTTTTGAGTCAAAGGAGAGAACCCGAAAGAGTTGTCCTATTGCTTTTAATGGCGATCACTTCAGCTGTTCCAAATTCTGTTTCCTTGACTGGGAACTGGAAAGTCAAACCCTGCCGCTAGCTATCTACTCATATATTTCAGTTTCACCACGCAATTTAACCCAAACGATTTGGGTTTCATAACGATGACTACTCGGAAACTCACGTAGTTAAACAGCTGGATAGCATCCGTAGCAATAGTTACTGATAAGTCTAGCCAATAATTGAAATGTCGCACGGAATCTGGATTGGCAGCGAAGCGTTCTGATGATGATAGGCAGCGCAGAAGACCATGAAGGGAGCGTAAGGAAGATATGAGCGCCTAAGTTGCAGACAAACTGAAAGGAACAGGAGCGCTACATAGAAAAACAGAAAAACTCACATCTACGAGAAGAAATAAAAGGTGACTGATGTTAATCTGGTCATGGCATTTAATGACAAATAATAACAAAACAACAGAGATTGCGCTAGTGAAGAAGCATAGCCAAGAAAGACGTCCTCCTGACGAGCCTGCGGACATGGAGACCTAAAAACAGATGAAATCAAGGATAAATACGTGGTCACTTTGTTATGTGTGCGTATCCATGGCTATAAACCAGAGTTTAGCTACAACCTTAATTCAAATAGTAGAGTGTGTGCTCCGAAACTTTCATAGCGACGCAAGCGCTTCACGAAGTTTACTTAAGGATAAGGTGACGATTCAATCAAAATCGTAATTCTTCTAAATTGCTCAGTTCCCGAAAGTACAAGGAAAGAGCGGAAATCATGCAATCTGAGAAATGGACAACAGCAGTACTCGTCCTTGAACCGCTGTCTCTTTTGCTGTTTCTATCTACAGCACAGCTTTAGAATACTGTTCATCTTTCGAACAGAAGCGACGAAGGCAAATCTAAGAGCGCGTTCATACTTTGCGTCAGTGTTTTTAAAGTCCGTCAGTGTCTACTAGCATATGATCGTTTCGAGCTACTAGGAAAGTACAGGCATCGATTATCGTTGAAACGCTGACACTCAGAACGCGATACCTATACATTTCTAGTCGTTTAAACGGCTCGAAATGCTGACATACGCCCGACGACGACAATCCCGTCTCTAGTCGTCCAACCAGGAAAGGTCATCAGGTCAGCCCGGCCATTTCCAATGAGCTGCACACCGTTGTACGCGTCTTGGGACGGTGAACTCAGAACTGTCTTCAAAATTTGCAGAACGATTCTCTGAACGGAGTTATGGAGGGTTTTATCCCCGCATGGTCGTTTCACATGCTATCGCGAGGAAACGTGGAAGCGTCTTTACATTTATGTATGGAGTCGTTCTGAAACGTGGTAGCAGAGCGCAACGGGTAGGGAGCGGGTTTCTTAGGCGAGACGTCGTAGGATCGGTTCCGGGGCAGGTCCTTTTTTGCATTTGTCCAAGAACATAGCCGACAAAGCTTCTAACATCTCTGCTCGCCTGCACTACCCTATAAGGGAACCTGCGATCAGTTTTTTTTGAAAGTGTAGACCCATTGTGGCCTGAAAGAGTGCTTCTGCTTGTACCCCTCGTAACACGTGTCACAAGGGTTTTTGCAATGAAATACCATCATATTCATGTTCAGCGGGTTAAATTACCCCTGGGGACAAGTTTCTAGCCGAATCTGATTTTTCGACCTCACTTGGAAAATGTGGGCTATTCCATGGGTAATTAGCAGCAGATTGGAGCTCACCTACCATCGATGACTGGTCTCGGAATGGGATTTCCTCCCGATAGTCAAGAAAATGATGCAGACGGCACAAATAAGTAAGCCAGGTACTGTTGTTTGCGAAAAGACATGACTGAAGAGTTATTTCAGTTCGAAGACCAGTCATCACCAGTATGCTAGTCATAGTATCGCTGTTGGCTATCAGTCAGCCATGACTATCCATACCCATTTTTTCGAAGTTGAGTCAGAAGCTCAGATTTTGCTAAGGTGACGTCCCTAGGGGTTATTTGACCCCTGAACACGAATATGATACCTGTTTTGCGCGAAGAGCGCTGTGAGTCGCGCTACATGTGCCAACGCTTCGGCGCCAGCGCGCCCGTAAGAAGAAAAACAGTAAAGAAAAACCTCCATAACTCCGCTCAGAGAATCGTTCTGCAAATTTTGAAGACAGTTCTGAGTTCACCGTGTCAAGATGAGTACAGTGATGTGCATCTCATTGCAAATGGCCAGGCTGACCTGTTGACCTTTCCTGGTAAGAGTACTATCTGTAGTCAACCTCGCCACTTACCTGGTGCGGGGGTCAAGATATCCTCGCCAGGTAAGAGTTCTCATTCTACCTTAATTCGTCCACGACAACTACACTTGGATTAGTGTTACAATGAACAACCCATTATCATTGTTTTCGTCTTTTCTACTTTATACCACTGAACCACCATCCACAAAACTACTGCAATTTTTGAACGCTCTCTACCAGAAAAATCAGTAGAAGTCTTCGTCAAAGCGATGTTTCCGAACCTCTCAAAAAATGTGAATAAAAGGAAAATAAACAAGCTGCTCACAAATTTGAAGCGCTGGTAGGTGATATCATGGAGCACCGTCAGAAATCCGATAATTCCAAACCATACCAACCATGGTAACACTCTATGCGAATGATGAGCACCTGCCACTACATAAAGAAAAGACAACGCTGAAATTGCAAAATACATGTGAAAGAAGTTTCCCGTAGGAACAATAAGTACCGCTTAAATGTACCTAAACATCAAGAACGACAAGAAACCATGGCGAACAATGACTTCTTCTTGACGAGTAAGCTCTTTGAACGTTAGTTTTATCACAACTTTTGCAGCGAGTGCAAGAATGGCGAAGTAGGTGTTAATTGAGACCTGCAACGTTCACAAATGTATTTGATTTCAATATTTCAACAGGTCAACCTAATCTTACCCAGATAAGTGGACTGTTGCTTTTGATGTACTGTACAACTTGAACTACAGTCAAGGAGGAGAGAAATTCTAAATCCTTTGGGTCATAAGTTGATGCCAAAGAACTGTTAAGTATTTCCTCGCGAAGAAGTTCTCGAATCTGAACAGAACCGGTTTACAATTGAGCAGAAAAAGTAAATAAGGAAGAATCAATCCCGCTCTTAGCGCCTCAATAGTTTTTTTTTGAACAGCTCGCTGGAGTTATTGTGCGTGAAATGACCTGGAAATACTTCCAAGGCAAGGATTTTCCTGATATGAATGGACACTGCCTACGGGTGCGGTGAAAAGCTCTGCACTTAGAGAGAAGAGTTGTGCAGGATCGTGTTCCAGGATGTCACGAGTACAACAACACTGCAGAAATGAAGCTACAGAACAAGCGTAACCCACTTCTGTAACTGTTAAGAGCTAATGTGTGAGTGACGTCCAATAACAAAATAATAACATGTAAACGTATGTGTAACGGTAGGACCGCGCGGCGTCGCGTGACAATTGCAAATACCGTATA